ATGAAAATTAACTTCTTCAAATTCAGTGGAACACAGATATTTCTGTATTCCCGAAAAGGAACAAGGTCATGAAATGATTACACACGATTACTATTATTCTAATAAATGCGTGCATTTGACTAAACTCTTTGAACGGTCACTCAGCATACTATCTGTGGAATTACCGCATTAAATTTGTCATCGTCGATTACCATTTCAGGCCAGACTATCCGATTATAGTCGCCTCCAGGACAACATTGAACCCTATATAAAAGCGCTCTATGGACTACCATCACACAGTCATTCCAAGGCTTTCCTCTCTCCTTTCAGTCGTCCTTGATGCTTTGAAAATACTTGTGCTCAAATAATATAAACCGTGCGCCACGAGGACCATTTCAAGATTGCTGCGGCGAAGTTGCCGCTATAAAATTCTTCCCTACTTCTGTAACTCATTGGTAGACGTTGCCAAGTGGCAAAACTCTTCACGGCCTTCAATCCAGTTCCCCTTCTGGCGCAGCAGCACCATTTTTATAAGCCGACCGCCAAAAAATTGTTTACAGGTCACTCCCGCAATGACGTTCACCATATTGTGTCTGCTTCTGATTTCGGCCTTCGTCAACGCTTCACCACATCGTAGCCACGAACCGCTGGAGCGTGACACCTTTCTGACGGAGCGACATGGTCATGAGCCGGCTGAGCGTGATACCTTTCCGACAGAGCGACGTTCCCAAGAGCCGCTCGAACGTGATACTCTACTAACGGACCGAAATCGTATCCAGGAGCCACTCGATCGCAAGATTTCTATGGGTAATCTACTTGACCCAAACACAGCGTTCAGCAGAGCTGGCCTTGACTACTATCTCGACATAATGAACGACTACAAAGGTAAGCGCACCTGCTTAGAAGTAAACCTCTCTATCAACACTTTATTTTTAAATTTTTTGAGTTCGAATAATGGATCTCTTTCTGGTAAGCTCTCTTATCATGAATAACACAATATCACTCCAAATCGGCCGCCAGAACATTACTACTCAAAGCCGTCCCAGTGCACCGTGCAAATAGCTTCACCTCTGGACGAGATCGTGTACATGTACCTAATGATAACCTCTATCAACCCACCCTCAAAAATAGTTGCGAATCCTATTAAGAAAGCTGAGGCGCGAAAACCAAAAGCGTCCTGTGCAAAGGTCGGAAAAATGGCTACGATGAGAAAACTCGTCCACAAGGATCCAGCGACCCTTTAGGAAAGACCTCTGTGCTGAAACTCTACTACTCAAGGGCGTTGTAACTTCCCATATTCCGCTGCGGTCATCATGCATACAAAACCAACCCCCGATATCTGACACTTTTTCAACCGCACTGTACCTTTAAGGACGCATTCGATCTTGCCTGTGCAATGCATGACACATTGTCTTTTCATTCTTGACGGGCACTAGATTGAACTTATTTATTTCAGATTACGTTCCAAAGGAGGTCCAGATGATCTTCGCAGGCGTAAGTATTTTTTTGACAGCGGCTTTTCCAACATTTATGATATTAGGCATGTTTCTAAGGACCATGTAGATGTCACCTTATCTACTGTAGAAGCCCCTTGTCTAACTGAAGATGCGATTTTTTAGTAGAATCCGAACCACTGGTGCACTCAAGATCAATTCCTATCTTTTACACGTGGACGATCCACCTTCCAGAGACATAAAGGATAAAGGATAAAGCATTTGCCGTTGATCAATCCCTTTTTGGGATGCGGCACGCATTCTACTTCCATTTGTACATTCGTAGTGGCGTTTGAATGCGATGTGGCCTATACAATGACTTGCGGGGGCCAGCCGATGTACAAGTCAGTGTTTTTATCCTCCCAGACAAGTCTGGTACCAATTAACCGACCCCGGAGGGATGGAAGGCTTGGTTGGCCCGGGCGACTCACGACCCAGGATTTGATCCCGGACGCGCTCGCGAAGCGTCCCTTGGCCCACACACCACCCTCGCCTTCTCAGGAACCATATGACAACCACAAAACTATCCTTAAGTCGCGTTTCTAAACTGCCAAAAGCCATTTTACTCCCTGCCCGAACAAAACGAAGACGAGATGGGCCCGCGTGAACGACAATCCGAATATGCGCTCGTAATAAAAATCACCGAAACAACGAATTCCGAAATCATGGAACTACGATCGCAACAAACGGTAGGAAATATAGAGTGTAAGCACTTCCCAACCGACTGAGTTACGGTCCTCTGTGCTGTGTTTGATTCCAAGGCTTATCGCGCCAAGGAAAGGACGACTGGTGATATATCACAACGACACTCAAACATTTGATATTCCATTATTACAAACTATGACCAGAGCTGAAGAAAACGTTGAAAAAGCTGGCCAATGGAGACTCATGGAGAACATGAAACAACTGACAGTCCTCCACCAGGAATTGCTCAACATGTAGTACCCAGCGATACATTTCTTGATTGTGAGACAGGTTCATATACATCACACTGTATTTATTATTTATTTATTTATTTATTTATTTATTTAGTCATGCGTGCAGCTGACGCGCCCAGAAAGAAACTAACAATAGAAAACACTGTGGTTAGTCACGAGGACGGTAGCCCTATTATCTTTACGGAACTATAAAACTACAGTAGAAAAAAGGACTCCTATAACCCTATTCTCTTTCTTGTATTCAAAGGGATAGCACCAGAACGAGGACAAACTAAGCACTGCTTGATTCGCTAACGAGAATCCAAGGAAAACGTCTCGGAACCTGGGTGACTTTGTGTGGAATCGAGATCTCTTACCTGCACCAGTCGGCAATGGTGCCCATCATGATTCCGAATCGTGAATATCCCTGAAGACTCCAGAAAAATCTATGGAAGCGCCGCCCACGGCCAACAGTGCATTTCTAACCATAAGTTAAAGTGGGGAAGGCGTTGTACATACTTGAGACTTCTTGACTGGACAAATTGAAACTATTTTGCTGTTTCAACCTCAACAGAATACTTGAGATGTGGCCGTTACTAACATTAACTGTGTGGAAAAGTGTCGTGTGAACGGGCTTGCTGAGATCTAAAGTGCAACTCCGCAAGTATGTGGAAGCATTCAGATAAGAAGGAGCTGGTAGGGTCTAGAAAAGAAAAAGGACAACTCCGAAAGCACACTGAACAACGTTCTCACCTTCCACTGCATTATTACCGCGAGATGGAGAGGCCGTATTTCGAGAGTTTCGGACGATCTGCCTTGCTCCTTATGCTACCAAGCGCTAAATACATCGCCGACAATACTTAAAACGCTGCCAGCAAGGCACCGGCAGCCGCTATCCGAAGTTCAAGTAATCTTGCGGACCAAACCTTTTTACGGACTACTTGATTTTTCCTCAATGGTCCTGCCGCGATGGCTAGAGCACAGACGATTAGAGAACGGGTGAATGCCCTAGGACTAAGCCTTGGAGAGGAGAGGGACCCGCGAGAGAGCGCAGAGGCGGTTTAAAGGGCTGAGTTCAAGTAGTTCGTCAACCGCGGGCAAAGGTGGGGATTGCGGGTCCAACGATCTTCTAGCGCCATTACCGCACACTTCGAGCTGCAAAGGAAGCACTACACAACGCTCGACCGCATGCATACCACAATCGTGGATGAAACAGGTAAGTCTACCCAAGCCTAGACCGCACCTTTAAAGGGTGTCGCGGTGGTAGTGGAAGTTGAAGAGGTCGTAGGGAAAGAGACGATCGAATACCAAACGATTCATTAGAAAAATATTCTTCATTCTAGTGGTGGGGCCGTATTTTCGAAGCCGTCTCCGCTCCACCTAATATGTTGGCCAATCGTCTTGCCGATCTCATGGCCGATTTTTACGAAGCTTATTCTAAATGCGCTCCTTCGGTCAAGAGCGAAGTGCGCACTATCTGGCCTGAAGGCATACAACCTGTTTGAGAGTGAGTTGGATTCTCTTTACCTAGGGTAGCTGGTTACATTTTACTCCACTCAAGGAAATATTCAAATGGACATATCCACAATTTCAGGCAACTTCGCCAAAAACTTCGCCAGCGCCGCCCGGAAATTCGCCGACGGCGGTCTTATCAATGGATATCCACCTTGTGAGCCCTAGCGCGTTTTCCTTTGCCCAAATTGAGGAACTTTCGTGAAATTATGATGATTCAATGAATTACATTTCAGCTGAGCGCTGACGCCGACTATCCACCAAAAGCGCCAAAAGTGAAAATCACCGATCGCAGTTTCAATCGCCAACCATTTACCGACGATTCATCTCCGGAAACGGATCTGAAACCAAGACAGCGCCTGTTCAATTTCTAATTCCGATGGGAAGCCAAGCCAACTTTCGATCTTCCTAACCTATAATACTTCGAGGGTTATGGGTAAACTTGTATAAGATGTGCATAATTAATTAATCGAGTAACTTGCTTCGATAAATTATTTACCACAACCGACCTACTAATTGTTTCTCAAAACATCTCACAAGGGAAGGATACCAGGTCGAAGTGGCCATTTGTAACGAGACATACACCACTAGATGTGTTTTTGGACGCTGATCTCGAATCTGCTCTCCAAATCTGCGAAACGACTCT